GAAAATGTACTTTAAAACAATATAAAAAAAATTTTTATGAATTGTGTAACAGATCTACAAATGATGTGACGGTTCCCTCTGTTCCTATTGGATAATTCCTGTAGATCATCACGTGAGCGTGAAAATTTTTGGTGGCGATCCTGGGGTAGTTTCGACGCGCGAAATCTATGGACAGTTCTTAGGGACAGTGTGGACAGTGCGTGATCACATGATACTTTAGGGACAGTGTTATCATATGACTTGGTACGACGTAACTTTATGCGAACAAAATGAAAATAATTTATTATCGATCAATACATCTATTTTCTAAATTTAAGTATTGCATTTAATAGATCTCGCTTAAATCTATGCACTATTATTTACTTTCTGTGTCTGTTTTACTAGTTGAACCACTTACTAAGAGAAATTGAGCAATGCGATCTTGGATTAATAACTTCCATCGTGCTGCAGCTAAAGTGGGGAATTGTGTCCACCGATTAACAATTGGAGGAACAGGCGCACCAGGTTTCAATACCATGGCTACATAATGATTTTGATTAACAAAAGCGATTGCAAGTGCTTCATTTCGGTTCAATGGATGGTGATATGGAAGAAAGGTAAGGCTGATTTGTAGTGAGAAGAAGTATAACGGTCTTTTGTAAGCATTTGCTATAACATCACCCATTTGTGGCATTTTCATCCAGTGATCGAACGTGCAAGGGCCGCTCTCCCAAGAAATTTCTTTTAAAATCATATCATAATCATCATTTGCAAGAAACAATGATCGGTAAAAAGGCTCATTTTTTTTTAATTCTTCAAACAATTCCTTTCTTATATTTGGCCATTCATTTTCATTTCTTCCTAAACCCACGGCCACTGCTCTGTACCCACAATTTCCATCTCCATCTACATTAACCACTTTTTTTATATATTCATGCATAAAAATAGGTATCTGATCATAAAATAAAGGTTGTTGCGACTGTTGTAGAACTTCTACAAGTTTTGTCTCCGGTTTTTTTGTATTTTTTTCCTTTTTTTCTTTTTTTGATTTTTCTTTGGCTGCTTTTTCTTGATGTTCGCTAAGAAGAGGGTTTCGCTTAGTAGATTGTGGACGTCTTTTAGGCAAAGTAGACACATTATGTAATGGTGCCTTTGGGACTGGAATTTCTTCAGTGACTAGTGCTTCAAGCTTATGCAAGAACGTGGCTTTTGACCCACTATCATTGAGATGTTCATATTTTTCTTCGAGCTTGTAAAGAACTTTACTAATAGTCATGTCAATTGACAACGATAATGGTATCGAAGGTACTGAATCATGTTTTAGATGCCAGCGTTTATGCACGAGGGTAAGTGGAACAGGTCCTGTTGGTGGAATGATGTGACGACATGGTAATTTATAATTCAATCTCAAGCTACAATTACAAGGGCTATTATTCACATTCTTATTCTCATCAATTTCACATACTTCTTTTTTGATTCTATCGATCGCCCATCTAGAAATTTTTCCAAGCAATAATTCAAACCTTTTGTCATTACGTATAAATGGATCAGCAGAAACAATGTTCGAGCCTAGGGCTCCATTCGTTTGTAGTTGGCGTTGACGAAAGGCACGATCAATATGTAAAAATACTTGCTCCAAACCACTTGACGCTTCTATTGCCTTTTTTAGAGCGCTGTGACTTCCTTCTGCTCTCTGTGTCGACTGGGTTCCCATATGCGGATAATTCTTTGTAAAAACATGCATCCAACACTCTGCATCTTTTTTCCATTCTTCAAGATAATTTTGAATATATTCAGGGTCCCTACTTTTCATTGTCGCTTGACTAACTTCTTTAAATGCTTTTTCAACTTCATTCATTTCTTCAGCATAGGCAACTTTCTGGACCGCCAACAGGAGTTCATTATACTCTTCATCTGAATCAAAAAATTTTCTACATGTGGTTCGTAAGTTTTGCGCAAGCATATGCCAAATGCATATCATTTTTTTTGCCTCTGGAAAAACCTTGTCTGCTGCTTTTCTAAGGGCCAAAGCCCTGTCTGAAACAAATACTTCTGGGGAACAAAAAAAAATGTCATAAATTGTCTCTTTTAAAGTAAGTAAAAACCATTCGTATGTGGGTTCTTGCTCATTTGCTACCCATGCCATTGCTATTTGATACGTGTTAAGAGCTTTAGCATTACCAATATTACTTATACCAACTGCATTGATGAGAGGTAACTTATATAAGTTCGTCTTATATGTTGCATCGATTATAAGCACCTCTGGACATATAGCTACTTGACGTGCAGCTTCAATATGTGTGAAAAATAAGTTTAACATATGGCCATCTTTTGTTAATAGATGACGAAGTATATATTGACGTTCCTCTAACATTTTTATAAGGCGCATTGTAGTGTCATGATTTGTGCCCTCATTTAGAGCATTTTTTATTCGGTCACGTTCATTAATTATATCTTTTGTATATACAGTACCTTGTTTCCAGTGTATCGCATCAGCAATTGATCGAGTTGATGCCCCACTTTTAAGCATTATATGAACCAACTCTTTTTGCTCCGTATTGAGGTGCCGATGTTGAGGAAGACAATGGATTTGAGATGGAATAAGTAGTTCATGATTATGCACACTTTTGGAAGACGTTACTACCCAAGTTCTGGTGTTTTCATTTAAAGCAGCTCGTAAAACAACAGGACAGCTTTGACGCTTTGAGAGTTTTTTTCTTTTTCGGGTCTCTTCATTAATTTTATGGTTATTTCTGTAGGTACCTCCCATTGTACATTGCAAAGTTATGAAAGGGGTGTGGCCACCTTTTCCACCACCTGACATTTTTGATGATGAAACGCTAAAGGCAAAACCCGCTGCCTTAGCACCTTGTTGTGCCACTTCCTTGAAGTTTTCTGCTGTTGGAAACTCATCGCCAACTTCTGGAATTTGTGGTTGTGATTGCGACATGATGAAACGATGAATTTTATTTATTTTTTTTATAATGATTATTTTATATAAAGGAATTAAACAGTTGTATTTTACTTAGCACGAAGTAGTTTATTCAAACACAATATTACTAGTGGCGATTTGATTTTTTTATTTATAATTTTTACGAATTCTATCCTTTTATACAATTGATTTTTTTTTTATAGCTAGGCACCATTGAATATAAAACCTTGGGAATATTCATAAGCAAACTAGTAGTTCTTAATATGTCCTTTATTTATGAAACCAAACTAACTGCTTTCCTTAATTTCTTCTACAGTCTAATAATAAACACAATTAACAGATTTTGCGACTATATTATAATTAATCGCTTTTTGGTAATGTTAGTTTTAATGTATGTATTGGTAATACTGCAGGTTTCAAAATTACAAGAATGATATTCAGTTTCTGGATGCTGATCACGATTCTTGAATCATTTAATTTTTCCATTCTAAGTTGATATCTCTATCGTTAAAATCAATCTGTGTAATTAATGTTTAAAACTTGGTGTATGTCTTATTCAAAAATAAATTACCGTGATTCATAATCAGATATTTTATTACATTTTTTTATATCGGATCTTTATATTATATTAAATATATAAATCGTATGAAAACACGTGATCTATATCTTTCAAAATATCACGTGATCTCGCACTGTCCCTAAGAACTGTCCATAGATTTCGCGGTTTCGACGTTCCTCCTGTTCATGTGACTACTATGAGACTATTGGGACTCGGTCCAAGTCTGATTTGGGACCGAGTCGAGATTAAAACTTGACTCATGGAGTCGGATCAGACCGGACTTTTAACATCCCTACCCTAACCTCAATCATCACAAAAATAGACACATATAATTATTGCAGCCCCACAATATTTATACAGTATGTAGTTGAAATTCGCAATAATAGATGTTAAACTTTAAAATAGAAGGTCATAGAAATTCCGCATGCATAATTTATTTGGTTATTGCAGAACCCCAGAATGTCCTAAACTAAATTCGGTCAATAGATTTCATTGTATCGCGAGTTTATTACTCTAATTTGGTAAATTGTAACTACAGTATTGTATAACGGTTGTCATACAATTTTCGTAAATGGGTCAGTACACAACAAAACGAGGTTTAGAGACATTTTGATCAAGGTCGAGATTTTTATCGGATTATATTTCTAAATATGTGATTTATTCA